GCCTGCTCTAATTTGTAGTAACTTCTCAACTATTTCATCGGCAAGTTAAAGTGAAAGGGAGGTGCATGGTGGGTGTGGGTTAGATAAGGCAACACATTGATTTTGCGCCAAATCAATCAAGGCATAAATAACCAAATGCGGAGATACCCAAAAGCGTCTTGTTTGAATCATTGTTGAATTATTTATGAGTCCCAAACTTATTGTAGAACCAACCCAACTTCTTGCACATGTTACCACATGACCGATTCGTTTCCAATCATGTTCCAAGATGATTGCCGTGATTTATGTTAGAGTAAATCTCTTGTTTAATTATGATTATAATTTGATTACTATAATTATTATTATAAATCCTTACATGTCAATTTGTTGGCTAACAAAAATATTTAATTAGTATGTGTGTCTTTGTTCCTAACCATTCAAAGGATGGCATCACCTTATTCTATTACATCTTGTCAAAATTTGTTCAAAGTCTTTGAATCACAAAATGAGCACTTCTTTAGTATTTGTTGTTGGGGAGGGGAAAGGAAAACTTCGAGACTCGAAACCTTTAACCAAGAGGTGATTTCCACTTCATCATCTTGATCTTTTATGTCTTCTATGATTGAAGGAATCTTGTGAATAAGATATATATGGTTTTTGCAGCTGCTTAACCCTTCACTTACCTACTTCCTTAAAAAAAAAAAAAAGGTATATTTCTGAATGTATTAATGTGTGCATGATAAAGTTACATTTCTGTTGACTGATGTTTATTATTATTATTATTTTAGTTAAACATAGGTATCAATTAATTTTGGGTATACTTGCAAATTGGGTTATTTATAACTGCTTTTAAAAAAAAAAAAAAGCCTTTGTTTATAATATGATATGATAAATTTTTACTTTCAAAAGATAACATTCCTAATTCATTATAATTGTTTACAGTCAAATGATAATAATAGGACTCAATAATATTCTATGGTTTAAAATCTATATAAAAGAAGGTATCTAGCTACATGGTATATGGGAAATCATGGCTTGTTTATGCTTGATGCACATCAATGATATCAATGACCCACATTCTGATCGTCTAATCTAGATGGAGCCAGGTAGCTATATATATATATATATATATATATATATATGTCATGCAGCCTGATGATTTAGTGGTTGAACGATCTAGGTCAAGTATTCAAATTGATTATATATATATATATATATTAACTGATGAATTAAATGACATTAATAGACGACTAGTTCCTCTCAAGTTCCAAATTCAAGTGAATCTTTTATTGGAGACACAGATCCAAGTATTCTGTCCTGAAGCATTAATCAAGACAAATAATTGACATTCAGTCGACCCCAAACTATTTCAAGCCTTTCACACTTTGATCCACACATGCATCCATATTATTCTTATCCGGTTAGTCCCATTTTTGCATTCCATTCATTTCATGTCCTAATTATCCATTAGTAAAATGATTGATATACACCCGTATTCAATATATTTTTTGACACCCATTCAGTTTAGTTATTAAAATATAATATAAATATAGATAATTTAATCAATTTTTGTATGTTGTATATATAGTTATATCTTTAAGTTTTTATGTCTTTAATTTCATATTAGAAATAAATAATTTTTTAATAAATGTATTATACAATATACTGAATCAAAAAGTATACCTATAAGTATCTTATTCATTATCAAAGAAAAACAAAACTTAACATTTGCCCTATTTATACTTACACCTTAACATAAATCAAAATAGCATCTTATACGAAAGTTAAATAAAATCTATACGATGTGATATCCTAAATTAGTTAGTAAAAAAAAAAAAAAGTTACATAGGTATTTGGCCATATTGGTGCCAAATCATGGGTGTGAAGATGCCACGTTAAGAGGTGCCGACACTGGAGCAGTTAAGAGCCAAAGCTTTTATCCCTTACCGTACTTGAGCTGCTCCTTCACAATTATTATTAGATTCAATTCCCTCCACTTATCTTCCAGTTTGCCCTACATATGCACCTCGAGCTATGTTAGATTTTTAAAGCACATTTCAACTATTCTAGATGAACAATCACACTCAATAATTACATTCATATACCCACTCGATCGCTTCAAGGTAAAAGGTCGAAAATAACCACAGTAACTTGTAGTTATGAGTTTATATATGACTTTAATATAAGATTACAAAAAAAAATTATTGTGTAATTTAGACTATATTAAATTGTATAATCAAAAGCATTCTCCCATGTGGCTGCAATGGCGGTCACGCTTATCTAAAGTGAAAAGCAAGTGGAACGTACTTCGGTTTATAGGTCAAATTTCAGACTCAATTTTTCTTAAACAGATACTAACTTAACATTATATTTTTTGTCCAAAAAAAAAAATTGTATAACCAAAATTGTTGAATAGAGATTGAACCTTTGATATTGAAGGCTTTTCTCCATTCAATAATTTATATTTTATAATGTAATATAACTTAAACTGTAAAAGATGATTCTCATATAGTTATAATATTTTTTAGTATAATAATTTATAAAGAATATGAATCTACTTATATAAAATTTCAACTATATAAAGTAAAAAGGAAGAAAGAGGGGAAGATGGATCGAGAGGGGGAAACTAGGGTACGTACTAATACAACTTTATCATTTTTTATTTTATTTTATTCAAAATATGAATATTTATTTGATTTGACATTTTTATTTATCTACATAATTAAATTACAATTCATGATATTGCTATGTCATACAAGAATTAAAAGAAAATGCTATTTTGGAATTATTAATTGTCACATCATATTTAATTGACTGGTGAACCAATATTGTACAATTTTTAGAGTTAAAGGATTAATAAAAGTACAAAAAAAAGTTAAGGAATAAAAAAAATATAAAACTTAAAGTTGAGGAATTGAAATTAGTATTTAACCTTATATTTATTGTTGAGTGAAAAAAAGTGTTGATCTAGTTTTTTCTTTTTTTTTTGTAACATTGTGGGTGAGATTCAAATTCTACGTTTCTAAATTAAAAAAAAAAAAGAAGCAACAACCGGACTCCAAGAATCCTCTCTCCACATGGTTAATAAAATGAAAAACACACTGAAAATTAACGAAAACTACCACATGAGCGGCATCCCTCAGCCACAGTAAAATTTCTCTTTTCCTAGAACTCACCGATTAGGTGGCACTATCCACGTTAGGGGTAGAATCGTCCATACAAATTTACAATCCCTTGTATATAAACAGCATGGTCCTCTTGCACTCAGGACCATGCTCCATTTCGAACGTAGTAGCGTAAGTTTCCACTGACATCGCCGCAGACGTCAATTAATTAACATGAAGGCGCTGTTTCACTTTGTTTTCGTATTGCTCGCCGTTAGTTGGGCCGTCGAGAGCTGTCCGCCGATGGACAGGGATGCGCTACTGGAGATTAAAGCAGAGCTCCACGAGCAGTACCTCGGCATCTTCAATTCCTGGACTGGAGCTGACTGTTGCCACAACTGGTACGGCGTCAGCTGCGATCCAGAGACACGGCAGGTCGCCGACATCAACCTCCGTGGCGAGTCTGAGGACCCGATCTTTGAGCGGGCCAAGCGTACCGGTTACATGACGGGGACCATCTCCCCTGAAATCTGTAAGTTGACTCGCCTCTCTAGCCTCATCATCGCCGATTGGAAAGGCATCACCGGTCCGATTCCGTCATGCATCACGACGCTGCCGTTTCTTCGTATTTTGGATTTGATCGGTAACAGACTCTCGGGTCCGATCCCCGGAGACATCGGAAGGTTGCGACGTCTAACGGTTTTGAATGTCGCAGATAATCAGATCACCGGGCGGATTCCTCCGTCGATCACGAATTTATCAAGTTTGATGCACCTCGATTTAAGAAACAACAAATTTTACGGTCCCCTCCCTCGAGATTTCGGCCGCCTCGGGATGCTGAGCCGCGCTTTGTTGAGTGGGAACCAGATCAGTGGAACCATACCGAGCTCGATCTCTCAAATTTACCGCCTCGCCGATCTAGACCTTTCCGTGAACAGCTTATCGGGAACGATACCAGATTCTCTCGGCAAAATGGCGGTTCTGGCAACTCTAAATCTCGACAGCAACAAAATCACGGGTATGATTCCGGCGAGTCTTATGAATTCCGCCGTGAGTAATTTGAATTTGAGCCGGAACGCACTGGACGGACAAATACCGGATGCTTTCGGGCCGAGATCTTATTTTACCGTGTTAGATTTGTCCCACAATAACTTACGAGGCCCGATACCGAAATCGATATCGTCGGCATCGTTTATCGGGCACCTGGACTTGAGTTATAACCATCTCTGCGGCCGGATTCCGTCGGGCTCGCCGTTCGATCATCTGGAAGGGTCGCAGTTTGCGAATAACGATTGTTTGTGCGGGAAGCCGCTTAGAGACTGTTGACTAAGGGA